CCCTCCATCTCCTTCCTCAAGTCCCCCAGCCTACACACCCAAGACCCACTCTTGCTAGAGAATACATCTGTTAGCTCTTTCTTTTATATAGCCAGGCATTCCAGTGGGTGATGGTGGAGTCATGGGTGGAATTGTGTCTGCCCCAAAATACACTGAATTCCTAACCCTTGGGAACTATGAATGTGACATTATTTGGAAATTGGGTTTTTTTTTCCAAATGTAATCAAGGTCATACTGGATCAAGGTGGACAGAATACCTAGGCCAATGTGACTGGTATCCTTTTAGAGGAAAATTTAGACACAGAGACCCAGGGAAGGCCAAGTGAAGATGTAGTCAGAGACTGGATTGGTCGTCTACAAGCCAAGGAACACCAACAATTGCTAGCAAATAGAAGCTGGAAGGGGCAAGGAAGTCTTCTTCCTTAGGCCTTCCTGAGAGAGCACAGCCCTGTCAACATAGATTTCAGACCTTCTAGAACTGTGAGAGAGAGAATAAGTGTTTCTTGTTTTAAGCTGGCCAGTTTGTGACCCTAGGAAACGGATATAGGAGATAAGAGTGTCAAGGTAGGTGGCAATACCAGGAAAGATCATTATTTGTTATAACCATACTATCATATACTTTATTGAGGTTTTCCTTTCCAAGATGACTTCTATATATGCTTTGAATTAAAATACTTGAGTCTGAGGGCCTCCCCTGGTGGCACAGGCTATTGAGTGCTACGCTGTGAAGCTGCCCGTAGCTCTGCAGCGCAGGTTAGCTCCCGGCTAGCCAGGGTCCCACATGGCACGGCAGACCTCTCCTGTCTAGCCCACTGCTCCCCTCAGCAGTGTATTTCATGAGTCTGTCTGTTCTGTTCCCCACTCTGTCTCTGGTGAATCCTCTCACCCTCCCGCGCATCTGGCCTGTACCCTGGTTCTTGTATAAATAAATAAATAAATCTTAAAAAAAAAAAAAAAGACGAGTATGAGCATCAGTTTCACATTAGGAATGTGAGGATGTAATGATACCTAATTCAAGAGGTTGTGAGGAGGGGGCCTCCCTGGTGATGCAAAGGGTTAGACACAACCTATGAGGCTATCCACAGCCACTGCAGCACTGGTTTGATCCCGGCCAGGGAGCAACCCACATGGTGCAGAAGAATTCTCCTGACTCCTACGCTGCTCCTCTCAGCAATGTGTTACATCATTCTGCCTGTTCTGTTCCCTACTCTGTCTCTGGTGAATCCTCTCACCCCCCAAGCCTCTGGCTTGTACCCTAGTTCTTGTATGCATAAATTAATAAATCTTTTTTTTTTTTTTTGAAAAGAGGTTGTGAGGAGTAAAATTCAGGGAATAATGTTTGTGAAATCATTTGGGAAAATGCTGAGCTCTATGAACACATTGTTGTTGGTAATTTTATTGCCATGGAAGAGAGAAAGCACCTTCCACTAGAAGTGGACATCTAGACCCTTGGTCTCAGTGACTACTTGACTTTCCAGCTGTAACACCATGCGAATGGCTGGGACGCTCTGCAGGTATATCAATTTCTTGAAAATCAAACAGTGCTCCTCCTTCCCCCAGGGAATGAAGAGGGAGTTGTCATAGCTCAAGTTTAAAGATCCAGTGGGGTGACCTCCCTTGCCACAAAGTATCCCTCCATTCACTAATACCTGTGCAAGGGAGGGGAGGGCGAAACCAGGATGAGGGAGAGGTTGGCCTCCTCCAGGAGTTCACAGGGCTGGAGCTGGGCCTCCAGGAGGTCACAGGGCCTGCCTGTTCTGGAGGGTGCTCTCCTCCTCTAGGGCCCTCTGGGAAGCATCCTGGGGGGCCTGAAGTGAAACTGGTCCCCAGAATTGAGTGCAGTTTCTAACACATCTGTCTTTTGTGGAAAAGAGGAATTACAAGTTCCAAATAGCAAAACTTATTAGTCAGCTATCCCCATTTCAGATAAGAGGTTAGGGGAGGGAAAGAGAAAATAATATTCAAAATAATTCAATTCAAAATAATATAACTCAGTGTGGGGAGATGTCCCTTTCTGGAAAGGAAGCTCAATCTGCGTGGAGTGGGAGGAAACTAGACAGGGTGTGACATCGGAGCCCCGGCTTTGAGCACGGGACATGGGGAATTTGGACCGAGGGGAGTGTGGTTCTGAAGGAAGGTCCGGAGGGGGTTATCGCGGGTTCAGGCCCGCGTGTCCCCGGTTCCCCAGCAGGCAGGTGAGGGCTGCTTATGTAATCGGGGCGCCTCGCGGGCGACCGGGGAAACTGGAAGGGGGAGCCGGGCAGGGGCTGACTGTGAGCTCCTGGAATCCGCACTCGGGCATTGGCTCAGCCTCGCGGGACACCGGGGCCCGCCCTCCCGCTGCGGAGCCCGCGCTGGCGCGGGGCGACTCCCCAAGCCTCCTGGAGCCCCGCCATCCCCGCGCTGGAGCCCGGCGGCCATCAAGCAGCGCCGCGGGGAGCCCACCGCGTCCGCCCGCCCCAGCCCTGCGGCCGGCTGGGAGGCCCAGAGGGAGGACCGGTCACAGCCCTGGAGCAAACCCGGGGTCTGGCCTCCGGGGACATCTTCACTTCCCCTTGACGCTGGATGTCCAAATCCATCACCCCTTTACATTTTCGGGGTCACCCTGGAAACAGGGGCGGTGCTTCTCAGAAGGCAACATGAAAAGTGATGGAGATTTTGGTTGCGGGTGGTGTGGTGAGGGTGCGAGGGGAGGATGCATCTGGTCGGGAGATTAATTTTGGTTTCTGAGTATAAGAAAGTAGAAAAGGCAAACAGATTTGCCTTTGAAAGAAAACTACATCCCCTCCCACTCCAGGCTAAACCAATCTTTGGGGAGAATCGAGGTCTTTTCAGCATTTTTGAAACACCCTCTGGATTCTGAGTCAGATTATTTCCCAGATATTGACCGTGGAAGATCACGCTTAGATGTCTTCCTAGTGTTTTTGAAGAGTCAACTTTCTTTATTATGGGCATTTTCAAATATGCATAAAGTAGAGAAAATAATATGACAATCTTGTGTACCTATCAGTCCCTCTAATAGTGATCAAGTTTGTTTCATCAATTAAACTCCCATCACCACGACCCCCACTCCCTTGTCCCACTATTTCATGTTTTTTCTTCCTAAAGGAATTTCCAGACATCATATTTCATTGGTACAAACTTCAGGGTGCAAAAACCCCCACTTTTAAAAGTACATCACTGATGACATCTTACAAATGCACAATTCCTTAAATAGTGTTCAAATGTCTCATACTTTAATATTGAAACACAATTATTTTGTTCAAATCAGAATGCAAACAAATCCACTATTGCATTTAGTTGTCTTATCCTTTAAGTTTCCTTTTAATCTGTGTATTCCCTTTCTTCCTTTTTCCCCTGGCAATTTAGTTGATGAAGGAAATGTGTCCTTTGTCCTGAGGATTTCCCCAAACTTGGATTTGCTGATGGCATTTCTGTGGCATTGTTAAGGTGATTCTCATAGATCCAGAATCCTGATGAGTTTCAGGTTCATTATTTTTGGTAAGTTTCCATCAGGTGGTTACCTCCTGTTGTATTACACTGGAAGGCAGGTAATGTTGGATTGTCTCTTTTTGTTAGGATTTATCAGTGGGTCAGGTGTTGTCAGCCTGATTCATTATTATACAATTCCCTGACAGCTTTTTACATAATGTTTCTAGCTGCTGTTGATGAGTATTGCTTAGATTCATTATTTCATTAGGTGTTATAAAAGTGATGGTTTTTCATCCTTTATTTATTAGCTGGAGTTTGTAATAGGGAATCCAACCTTTAACCATTTGGTTATCCAAGATGTATTTGTACAAGAATGGTAGCATAAATACTGAGTCTTTCTTTTTATTTACTAGGGTTCAGAAATTTGGGTGGGTTCCTAGCATCCTCCAGAAGTGACTAATAGTTTACTTTTTAGTTATCATAATGAACTGATGGAATTTTTAAAAATACATTTGATGTGTTTCATTCTACTGCAGTTATTATCCTTATTGACACTAAGTGTTCCACATTTGATCCTTCAAGTTGGCTCCTGAGTAATTTTTTACATAATCCCAGTAAATTTTCTTACACTCTGGTGTCACAAGATGTTCCAGAATATTTTTTCCCAGATCTAGAATTAGCCAGTAGTTCTCCAAGGAGCCATTTTATTTTCAGTGGGAAATATTATTTAGAGTGTAAGCAACACTCACTTAGTTTACCCAGTTCGGCCATTACTGTTAGGTGTTCTTTGTGAACAGAGCTAAAAATTACATTTCGCTATTTTTAGGAGGAAATGCATCTGAATTTATACTGATTTTCCAATTCAGATTTTGGATTTGGTTACTAATAAGGAACACTATGTTTTTATTTCTATTCTTTTTATGTCATCTCCACAAGAGAAACCCTAATCTTTTCTTTAGGTTGAAAATCTGTTCCTAGTAAAATTAATGTAATCACATATGTTTGCTTTATCCTACTATGTGTGGCTGTATATATGCATACACATAACATAGTATATGCAGAATGAAAACAATATTATTAAGATTATAATTGAAAATTTTCACTTTTATTTGCAATTCTCTTTTGTTATTAGAAAGTCAAAATACTGGGCCTACCCTGGTGGCGCAGCGGTTGAGCGCTGGGCTACGAAGCTGCCCGCAGCCTCTGCAGCTCTGGTTCAATCCATGGCCACCAGCAAGGGTCCCACATGGAGCGCAGAACTCTCCTGCCACACCCGCTGCTCCCCTCAGCAGTGTATTTCGTCAGTCTGCCTGTTCTGTTCCCTGCTCCGGCTCTGGTGAATTCTCTCACCCTCCTGCGCTTCTGAACTGTACCCAGTGCTTGTATAAATAAATAAATAAAAATGTTTTAAAAAAAAAAATTTACCTGTACCATTGAACAAGTTTTTTCTTAAAAAAAAAAGTCAAAATACTGTAGTTGTTGAAAGTGATTCTGGGTATTTAAGCTACCAACCACACACAGATTCATTTTGTCTTGTTTTAATTTTGTTTTGTTTTTTTTTTTATTTTTAACATCATAGTTCATTTTTAAACAATATTTGCTTCCCCCCACCCCCTCAGGTGTAGTACCCATATAATTTCCTTCCCCAATGCACCCATGCACCATCACCTCAGTCCCCTGTGCTCCTCCCTCACCCCCTTGTTTTAATTTTGTTTTAGAATGATGTGAAACATTTACATGGTTCCAAATGTTCAAATCAAGGTATATTCAGAAAAGACTAATTTCCATCCCTTTCACTCAGTTGCTTCCCATCTCCAGCGGATGACTGTGCTGATAAGTTTTGATTCATCTTTCTCTTTAAAAATATAAACAAACAAATGTATATATTTACATTCCCCTTAGGTAAAATGGCTCATACTATGTGCACAATCCCCCATCTTGATTTTTTCAGTTAATATATTCCAGAGGTCATCTTATAATACATGATTTTACTTATTTGCAAAATGAAAAGAAGGTGCAGAGGCAGCTTTAGCTGAGTCTTCTGTAGAAATGATATCCAGGGTCATATTTTTCAAGTCCCCAGGAAGGTAGAGGTACAAATGAGCCACGGTGGCCTTCAGGGTCACGGGGGCTTCAGAAAATGAGATGGAGGAGAAAGGGCTTTCTGGGATTGTTGTCCAGTCCCTGTATCTGCATCTCAACTAGGATGCAGTGGGATGCTTTCTCATAGCATAGTTTTCCACTATTGCAGGTTAAATTACAATTGAGTTCTTCCCAGTCTTGTCCTGTTACAAACAGTGCTCGTGATAGATTATGCTAAGCAAGATAAGCCAGAGGAAAAAGAAAATATCTGATGTTCTCACTTGTAGGGGAAATATAGGGAAACATAACAGAAATAAGGAAAAAAGAAAAACCTTGCCAGTTGACCCTAGATCTGAGGCTTACTGCAGGGGAGTGTGGTGAGGGCTCAAAAAGGGGAGAGAAGAACCCAAGGGACTATGGCGATGGTCACGGGTGCCCTGTTGGTGGGAGAATTATGAGAACTACACCGAAGGGGAGAAATCAATACAGACGATGTAAGAAAATAAAATAAAACACAATGATTCTTTAAAAAATCAAAAACCAACAAACAGTGCTACAGTGACTAGCCTTGTGTAGAATCTTCTCGTGTTCTCCAGGCTCTTTTCGACTTAGGCATATTGAGGGGAGGACTGAGAGAAGGAGGAAATTTTAAAGCCAGGCCAGAGGTGGGCCCGGCCAGAAAGCACAGGTGTGGCCTTCCCACATGATCCTGGAAGCCCAGCTGCACCCCTCCACCTGCTGGCAGCGCATCCCAAAGCCAGGAGTTAATGCGGAGGAAAAGGAGGGCAAGGCAAAGGAACAGCTTCAGGGGTTCAGGGTGATCCGTGTGCCTGGAAACAGAAGCCGGTAAAAGGGGAAGACCTGTCCCGGGAAGGAGGTGTGGAAGGTGTAGATGTGCGTGTTCGTGACGGCGTCGTAGAAGACGACCTCCCCGCCCTCAAAATCCACACAGATGCCCACTTTCCTCGGACAGGCGGGGAGGTCCTCCCGGGCGCCAGCCTCGAGGAGCGCCTGGCACTCGGAGCCTGTTATTCTAAGCACCCAAAAGCCGGTCAAGGGGTCTATCACCAGAAAACCCCTCCTGGCAGCTTGTCCCAAGGCCACGCCCACCATGCAGGCCCCGCCCCCGGGCCCATCCAGCTGTGTCTCCCAGGTGTGGCGGCCTCTGGAGAGCCCTGGAAAGCCCAGCACGCAGCGGAATGGGTAGAAGCATTCAGGGTCTGTGGGCTCATCTGAGCTCTCCTGTTGGATGAAATCCAGCGTCGCTGTCTTCAGATCCGGAGAAATGATGAGTTCTGGGTGGGCTGTGACTTCATCAAAGGTCATGGGAACTGCGGGAATATGAGGAGAAAGAGGCTGCTTGGGCCTAGTTGCCCAGTCCCCTCCAGCTAGCTCCTCTGGGTGCAGTTGGAGGGGAGCTTTCTCCTCCTGGTCAACTACACTCTCCTTCCCCAGAGTACTGCCAGCCCCCACTGCTTGAAGTTATTCGGTATATTTCACCTAGTGCTGCTCTATGGGAGGAGAGAGGAGTGTCCTCTGGGGGTGGAGGGGCAGACAGGGGGCATCATTTCAATTCCCAAAGCTGAATTTATCTCTTTCCCCTTCCGTTCCTGTGGTTCCTGTTTCTCCCATCTAAAACAAGACTTGGAGCTAGCAGAAGGGATGTTGAGACTCAGACTTCCTGAGCTCTGGTCATTTTCAATGTGGATCCCTGAAAGACAGGGAAGAGTGGAAGGTTGGATTACTGAAGGCGGAATAGTCGATTTGGAATACCTCCCCACCTCTTTTTTCATTTGTATTTGGATGCCGAGTTTTTTCAAGACTAGACTGAGGGCCCTTGTCCACCCTCTCCCGTGGGCTTTAGCAGCCCTAGTTCCAGGTTCCCCTAAAGACTCAGAAAAGGGAACCTAATTTTATCTTCTGATTTGTTATTTAATCATACTCTCTTTTTTAAAGATTTGTTTATTTATGTCTACAAGAACAGGGGTGTAGGCCAGAGGTGAGGAGGAGGGGGTGTGTGAGAGGATTCACCCGAGACAGAGTGGGGAACAGAACAGGCAGACTGACTGAAATACACTGCTGAGGGGAGCAGCGGGCAGGCAGGAGAGGTCTGCTGCGCCATGTGTGTCAATCCTCCCTGGCCGGGAATCGAACTCGTGCTGCAGTGGCTGAGGACAGCCTCACAGTGCTGTGTCTCAACCCCTTGCACCACCAGGGAGGCCCTAAACTCTTACTGCAATGTTAATTTTCTCTTGCTGGATAGGCGGACTTGGAAGGGATGGCCAGGTTGGATACAGGAACGAGGGGGAAAGGAGAGGGCGGTCAGGGTCATGGGAACGGGTTAGGTGAACTGTGATTCACGCTAGGGTTTACCCTCCTCTGGGCCCAGCTCTGTCTGCAGTCTGTGCCTGAGCTGCCAGAGTCAATGTTGGGGGGATGGGGACTTGTCCAGGGGAGGCAGCGACAGGAACTTCCTTTATCCACCAGGGGGCACCGCAGCCCAAGCAGGAGGAGGAGCCGGGCACAGGCGGGAGCGCGGGGCTTCCCGAGACACCTTCTCCTCATTTTGCTCAGACACCCGCATCCCCTCTCCAGCTTCACCAGCCCGTTCTCCCCCGCGGGCCCGCTCCCCCGGGCTGCACTCACAGAGCGCCTCCTTGAGCTCCGCAGGGCTCCACGCGGTCGGCGTCGCCACTGCTGTTGGGGTTAGGGGAACCAGGGAGGCTCTGCTCCGGGGAGGGACTGGCGGCGCCTGTGTCTGCAATCTGGGGCTGTGTGGAGTTGAAAGGTGGCGGGCCGGTACAGGTGGCCTAGGTGTTTCGCTGCCTTTGAGGGAGAAGGAAAAGAAAAGAGGTCAGTGGGCGCGAGGGGGCGATCATCCTCCATTGCCTCAAAGTGCTGCTGAGCTGGGACGCAGCAGGAGGGATGAAGGTTAGGCTGCAGAAAGCACCCCTGAACCAGTTAGTGGTGTTACTGGGGCGGAGGTATAATTTGGGAAGGAGTAAAGGAATTGGATGGCATGCCCCTGGGCCCACCCTTCTTGCTTGCCCACGCCTCTGGGAAGTCCACAGCCTTTCAGCTGCTTCTCCCAAATGCCTAGTCCTCTTCCTCTTGATTCAGCTTCCTACATTCCTCTTTCTGCTCCATCCCTGTTCCTCTTTATCTCAGGCTGGAACTGAGGGAAGTCATTCAGTCCTGCCTAGCTCTGCTCAGGGAGGATGATATGTGTTAGGAAGTGAAGCCTCCTCCCTTCCCTGGCGGCCTCAGCTCCAGTGTTCCTGTCTGTGTTTTGGGTGGAGAGAGCATTTTGCTTACCTGGAAAATCCGAGGTCCCCTCGCTGGAACATGACACAGGAACCCCCAAAGACTGAGTATCAGGACCCTGAACTGGAGAGGGTGACTCAGGCTCTGAGGCTTGGTTTGTTTTAGGAGTATTAGTCTCTGACTGGCCATCTATGTCTTAGAGAGAGAAAACCAATTTTGGTACTGATAACCAGAAGCTGCAAATTAAAAACAAAGCCAAAACACTGACACTAAGAACAACAGACAAGGTGCTAGGGAGCACCCCTTCCCCCTATGGGGAAGAGTGGACACCTTTAGGATTGTTTCAGTGATAGCTGGAGAGGGTTGGGGAAAGTTCTGGCCTTTCTGGGACTCGGGAAGCGAAACATTCAACAGGGAACAAGGCAGGGAGAACAGTGGAGACTTCTTTGCAGACACCAATAGCTCCTCTCCCAGAGAAATGCTCAATCCTAAACCGCACTCTCTGGCTTTGGAATGCATTATGTCCTTTCTGACTTTGGTGGGTGAGTTCTCATGCTGTCTCTTCTCTTAATAGTCACATGATCTGGGTTGATTTACCTCACCTCCCTGGAGATACAGGGACGTGTGTGTGTATCTCTGTATAAACACCTTCCTTGAAGGATAACTTTGGGGGCTACAAATATCAGGTGTGAGGTATTTAGCAAATAGTGGATCTTTAAGAAATGGTATTTCCAGTGTAACCTCTCAGGTGGCAGAGCCTGGCCTGATAACTTTGGCTTAGGCTGCTGTTAGTGGGTCTCTGTCCCCAGTGGTCCTGACCTCACATCACAGGGGTTTGCCCACATGGCAGCTAATACTGCAGAGACTGAGCAACCTCTGCCTCCTCCCATCCTACCCCTTTCTCCCTTACTCTGAGGAATAAAGAAATACATTTATACTTTTCTATGACTTTTGAATACTTCAAAATTTTGCCAAAAGTCACTGTAACTATGAGTTAACTGACTTCAAATACAAAAAAATACCCTTACCCCTGTTCTTCTCAATTGAATGAAGACTAGGCATTCACCCACATCTAACTTTCATATAACTACAGATTGTCCCCCTTTGCTTTTCTCACTTTTCCCAAATGGCAGGAGCAAGCCCCAGTCCCCACTTACATTTTGTTATGTCCTTGTCACTCATGCCTTTCAAAAATTTGCTTCTATCTTTCTCCCCTTCATTCTTGAGATGTTCTGTGGGGAGAGAAAGGGATGAATGGAGAAAATCCGGAGTGGTTGAGCAAGAAATCCAGAATTTCATAGCAAGGCACTGATTTGCAGTAACAGAGAAATGGGAACTGGATTTTTCTCATATTCTTAGTGGACAAGAATGTATAAAACACTGAGAGGGCCTCCCTGGTGGCGCAGTGGTTGAGCACTGGGCTGTGAAGCTGCCCGCAGCCTCTGCAGTGCCAGTTCGATCCCAGGCTGCTGGTGAGGATCCCACATGGCACGCAGACCTCTCCTGCCACCTGCTGCTCCCCTCAACAGTGCATTTCGTCATTCCTTCTGCTTCCCTAAACTGGTTATCTAGCCAGCATTGCCCAGGAAAATTATTATCTCAGCCACGAATACCATTTAAAATTTTCTAGTAGTAGGTACCTCTCCAAAGAGTTCAAAAACACTAATTCAAAAGGAAACCTGAACTCCTATGTTTACAGCAGCATTCTTTACAATAGCCAAGATATGGAAACAACCTACATGCCCAGGACATAAATGGGTCAAGAAGATGTTTTACATATACACGGCGGAATACTACTTAGCAGTCTAAAGGATACCATGCCCTTTGTGGCATCGTGGATGGACCCAGAAGGGATTGTTCTACATGAAGTGATCCAGGAGGAGAAAGATAAACACCACATGGTTTCACATACATGTGGAATCTAGAGGAACTAAACAAAGGATCAGAAAAAGTCATGGTGTAAAACTGGCTCTTGAAAGCAGAGCACAGATCTGAGACAGGAGGGGAGAGGTTAGAGATGGAGGGGAGAAGAACACCATGGATTGCGGTGGAAGACTGTGGGCACTTTGGTGGCAGGAAAACTATGGTGATCACTCCTGAGAGGAGAAATCCTATATAGTGAGGAGAAATCCTATATAATGAAAAAGTAAACTAGAATGCTTAAAAAATGAAATAAAAATTTCTAGTAGTCACCTTAAGAACTAGTGAATTTAATATTAATTATAGATTGCATTTCACTCATCTTTTTTAAATAACAATTTGGAGCTTTTCTTTTTAAAGATTTATTTATTTACACAAGAGCCAAGGTACAGACCAGAGGTGCGGGAGGGTGAGAAGATTCACCAGAGACAGAGCCAGGAGCAGAACAGGTGGATCTACTGAAATACACTACTGTGGGGAGCATTGGACAAGACAGGAGAGGCCTGCCTCACCATGTGGGTATCTCCCTGGCTGGCTGGGAATTGAGCCCATACTGCAGAGGCTGCGGACCACTTCACAGTGCTGTGCTCAACCCCCTGAGCCACCCAGGAGGCCCTTCACTCATTATTTTTTTTGAAGATTTATGTATTTATACAAGAGCTGGGGTACAGGCCAGAGGTGTGGGAGGGTGAGAGATTCCACCAGACAGAGCTGGGAGCAGAAAAGGTGGATCTACTGGATTACACTGCTGAGGGAAGCAGCCGGCGAGACAGGAGAGGTCTGCTGTGCCATGTGGGTATCTCCCTGGCCGGCAAGGACTCGAACCTGCACAGCAGAGGCTGCGGACAGCTTCACAGAGTCATGCTCAACCCGCTGCACCACCGGGGAGTCCCTCATTCATTATTTTAAAAATGTTTGTGGGAGGAATGAGTAGCCAGGGGTCAACAAGATAGAATGGATGGTAAGTAGAACTTTGGTGTTGGGAATGGCGTGGTATCATACATTGAAGGGGGTGAAGGTGTACTCCTAAAACATACAGTGCTGTAAACCAATCTTACCTAAATAAAAACATAGCATTTCAACATGTAAGACATTCTTATGTTTAACATTCCATTTTCATGTAACTCTTAGAAATTCATACATGTTCTTCATTGACAGCACGCTTGGATTTGAACGAGCCATGTTCCAAGTGCCCAGCAGCACGTGTGCTAGCGGCCACAAAGTCAGGTGCTATGATCTAGTTTCTCCCTAGCGACAACAGAGGAGAAGGCACTGAGGACAAAATGTGCTTTGGGTCCTCACTCTTTGGCTTCATAAGAAAGTCTGCTGTGGGGCCTCCCCTGGTGGCCCAGCGGGTTGAGCCTGGGCTGCAAAGCTGCCCGCAGCCTCTACAGCGCCGGTTTGCTCCCTGGCCAGATGGCGAGGGTCCCACATGGCACGCTGACCTCTCCTGCCACCCGCTGCTCCCCTCAGCAGTGTATTTGGTCAGTCAGTGTACCTGTTCTGTTCCCCGCTCTGGCTCTGGTGAATTCTCTCACCCTCCCGTGCTTCTGACTGTACCCAGTGCTTGTATAAATAGATCTTAAAAAAAAAAAAAAGTTTAAAAAAAAAAAAGAAAAGTCTGCTGTGGTGCCCAGCACCCCGCGGCCAGGTATGGTAAGTGAGAGAGAAGGTCTCACTCTCCTAAGGCCTGGATCACAAGTGTACCCTCCCTCCACTTAAATAGGGATTGAGAGGAGAAAGAGGTGGAGCTCCTGAAGTAGGAGCTTAGGCCCCCATCTCCAGGCACAGACAAGGAGGACTGTCACTTGCTGCCCCCTGCTGGGAACAGGGCAGGGGACTAGCAAATTTGTGGAGTTGAAGGATGAGTCCCACAACCTGGGACAAAGGCTTGGATTTCCTGAGGAAGTGCTGGACTGGGGGAAGGTATGTGTGGGGTTTCTAGATGGGGGGCTAACTTTCGGACCCCTGCACACCCTTACAGTGCCCTGCAACTCCAGGAGAGGACAGATTAGCCCTGTGGAGGATGCCCAAAGCTCTATGCCACCCCCCCACGCCCTTAAACTCTAGCTTCCCAACCCTGGGTAGCACACAGCAACCCTCTTCTGAAGGATCCACATGCTTACAGCCAGAGCAGAGATGCAGAGAAACATTGCCCGGGACACTGTGCCACAAGGCCCTTCAGGATCCAACCACCCCATGTCCACCCCTGGTTTCTGGACCCCCAAACAACCCACCCTTCAGACTAGGGAACTATGGAGATTGGGGCAATGGTATGAGTGCTCTCCCCAGCAAGCCCTCCTCCCTCCTTGCCACAGACTGTAATAGAGTAAGGTGGGCACTGGAGGGGTGTGTGTGTGTGTGTACACAAGGAGGATTCTTTGATATTCCTAGGAAGGAAACTCCTTTCAGCTGTCTTTTCTCCTGGCTTAGATAAGCACAGCCTTCACAGTTGGGGGGAGGGGTGTCCTTATAAATACAACCCTTATTCCTGTTGCAAGCCCGGGTAAGTTTTTGAAAAATATCAGACTGAACATCCTAAAGTGACTTGGGAGCCATCCACTTCTGTTGGGGCTGATTTCTGTTTCCCTGCAAAACTGGAAGAGACATTTCCCCGAGACATCATTGACATTGAATCTATTTCAATGTCAGAGCTCTAAGCTTGCATGTGAGAAGTACAAACCACTTTTGGGAGATCACACAAACCCTGCCTGGGGGCTCAGGGAAGATAGGCCTGACCTCTCTGATCCACCAGTGGAGCACCAACTTGCAGGCAGCCACTGGGCTACTCAAAGGGACCCGCTGGGGCAAAAGTTCAGGCTCCCTCACCATCTCTGGGGAGATAACCTGTGGTGAAGACAGCAGGAAATACCTGCCTGGAAGCCCAGAGATGCTCTGGAAGGTGCTCCGCAGAGAGCCTGGCATCTGAAGGGTCCTGTGATTATGATCATGTGCAGAAATTACAGGTCATATTCCATGCTGGATGGGGGAAGACCCCAGAGACGCAAGTTCTTTCTTACCTTTGAATCTCTTCAGGTAACTTGCCAGGTTTTTATGTCTTGATTGTGCATCACTGAGTTTTCTCTCCAGGTGAGAAGGAACAGGGGTTGGACTGAGAAAGGGAAATCCTTCACTCCTGGGAAGATATGACTGTGTGGATGATGGGAAGAGGGATGGTGGGGAGAAAGAACCATGACAAGAGCTGGGGAGAAGGTGATGAGTCCTGGGGTGGGGAGGCAGTCAGGGGACAGCGAGCTGGGAATCTGGAGGCCAGAACTAGGGTTCTAGGATGGAGTGAGGTAGGCACAGGGAGATATGCAAATGAAGACAGGAGATAAGACAGACAGGAGGAGAGGAGAGAAAGGGGGCAGAGGAAGGGGCCAGCAGTGGTGGGCTCAGGAGCCCCAAAGTTTCAAGGAAACAAGAGAATCTGCACTGAAGAAATAGGAACCTCTAGAAAATAGCTCTTCTCTTTAACAACCAACCTACTTGCTAATTTGCTCAGCGTTGGCCTTTCCTACCTGAAGCTTCAGCACCTGACTGCAAAGGTAGAATGTGTGGGTATTTGTGAGGGAGGAATGTTGAGTGTATTTGCATATATGTTGAACTTTGTAGGGTAATGAATCAGTAGGTAAAAGGCATTTGGGATGGTCCATCATACCTGCACAGGATAACTTTGATGTTCTGGAAGAGAAAGAGAAACCAAAGCTTTAGTGCATGGTTGATGCACTGGAGCCAAGGAGGAAATGCAGGTGGAGCAGGGCAGGTGCAGTGAGAACACCTTGAAATCATTCTTTCTTCCCACCTGCCACAACGGGCTCCTCCAAAAAGTGTCCAATATACCAGGAGGCAGGAAAATGGCTAGACCTCAAGAGGAACTGAGTGATGAGGACGGGAAGAGGAGTGAGATTTTGGAGATGAATTTTGTCTTTGGGCCTAAACTAGAAACAGGAGAGGTAGGAAAGCAGAGGGGCTGGAATGACTTTCCATGATTGGATTTCTGAGAGTTCAAATGGATTTCTGAACTAGCAAGAGTGGGAAATAAATTCAGGAGGGACCTCAGCTTATTGGGGGCATTGCCTAGACCCATGCTGTCCAATATGGTAGCCACCAGATCCCTGCGAAATACGATGAGTATGAGAAGAAAGGAAATTTTTAATTTTATTGCATTCTCACTAATTAAAATTAAAATTTAAAACCAGAAGCAGGGCAAAACAGTTTTTCCTTTAAATAGACTATATTGATTTGGTAGGACTACGTTTTACTCCAACCATTGAAAATTTAGCATCTTTGAACTGAGGTCTGCTGTTGCAAAAAATACACATGGATTTCACAGTCAGTACTGAAAAATGAGACTAAAACATTTCACTAATATGTAAGAGATATTGGATAACAGGTTGAAACGATAATGTTTATATACATTGGGTTATATAAAATATTTTGTATATTTTACAAACAGGTGAAATTTTTCACCTGTTTCTTTTTATATTTTTTAATGTGACTTGCAGAAAAAAGTTTAAATGACATATGTGGCTTGCAATACAATTCTAAATTACCTATGTGGCCCTCATATTTCTCAATTATGTTTATTGCTCTCCTGGAGTACTGATTATATTTCTATTGGACAGAACTGGGCTGGGGTTAGGATGGGCAAGGCCAGGTGATCTGCTGGGAAGTCCCTGCTCTGACTCACCACCAGGGCTGGGCTGCTTTTTTCAGCTTGGTCCTGAAGGACTTACCTTGAGCATCTCTTTGTGTGTGAAATGCTGCCTCTCCATCAGGGAATCAATCTGCAACTTGAGAGAGTTCAGCTGAGTCTCAGAGGCAGTGACATAGACATTCTTCCCGCTTGCTCCCTCCTGAGCCAGCCAGTTTATCCTTGACAGGAGGAAATTCTCCTCTTCCTGTAGGGTCTGATACAGCTGCTGGAATTCTCTGGTGATCTTTTGCTTCTCAAGTTCCACCTTGGCCTGGGGGCAGGAAAAATACCCAGAAGATGAGCGGTTGACCTCCAAGGTCCTTCTAGCCCATTTTATTTCATTTTTCAATTGCATTAAGTTTGTACTGAGCGGACCTCCCCGGTGGCACAGCGGTTGAGTGCTGGGTTGTGAAACTGTCCGCAGCCTCTGCAGCGCCGGTTCGTTCCCCGGCACACGGGTGAGGGTCCCACATGGCGCGCAGACCTCTCCTGCCGCCCGCTGCTCCCCTCAGCAGTGTACTTCGGTCCTTCTGCCTGTTCTGCTCCCCGCTCTGGCTCTGGTGAATTCTCTCACCCTCCCGCGCTTCTGACTGTACCCAGTGCTTATATAAATAAAATAAATAAATCTTTAAAAAAAAAATAAAATAAAATAAAATGTTTAAAAAAAAAAAAAAGTTTGTACTGAGCACTAATGCGGAACAGTGTATTCTGTGGACAATCTGGAGGAAATGGACAGTGAGGAACATGAACTTGTTAAAGGACTTAATATGAGCTCAGGTTTAGTTTTAGGTTATTTCTGTTTTATAATTTTTACCTTCAAGCTCCTCAGTATCTAAAAACTGACTACCTAAGTATCTAGTACACACCACATTTCTGAGAACGCTTTTAGTTTATGATCTGGCTCACATGGATTTTTCCTCTCTCTCTCTCTCTCTCTCTCTCTCTCTCTCTCTCTCTCTCACACACACACACACACACACACACACACACACACACAGAGTACCAGCAGATACTGGTGATGGAAACTAAGAGCAGGAAATCTAGGACTAGGCAGAACTAACCTCTGACCACTGAACTGTATTCCCTCTTTAGGATTTACCATTAACTGGCTGCAGTTGCATTCCATGATGAAATTCTCTGTCCCCCTTGGGTTGGTAGTGGCATCAGAGAGATCTGGTTGCTGAAGGGATTACCCAGCTGGGAAAGACAAACACCTGCACTGCCTGCCTCTTGGACTAGCCCTCTGTGGAGAGCGGGATGGTTAACAAGTCCTACTGCTATGGAAAATTTATCAGCACAGACCAGCGGTGGGGATGGAGACATCAGTCATTACAAAGAAACCCCTGTCCTTAGAGATTAACCCAACCAGATCTTAAAAGCGATAGCTTTCACAATAGGCAAAATTCCACAAAGGAATGAATCTCTCCAAAGAATGCGATATAAAGAAGCCCCTTGCTCTGGTAAAACGCAGCTCTCTGCCTTCCTGTGTCTATGCAAGGGACTTTTTTTCTTTTTCTTTCTCTTTTTCTGAATAAGGCTGTCCTTTTAAAATACAGCCTTTGTCCTCCCTGGTGGCGCAAGGGGTTAAGACACAACCTATGAAGTTGTCCGCAACCACTGCAGCACCATTTGGATCCTAGCTGGCTGGGGAGAAACCCACACGGCACAGCAGACCTCTCCTGTCTTGCCCGCTGGTCCCCTCAGCAGTGTATTTCCGTCAGTCTGCCTGTTCTGTTCCCCACTCTGTCTCCTGTGGATCCTCTCATGCCCTGCACCTCTGGCCTGTACTGCAGTTCTTACATGCATAAAAAAATAAATCTTTTTAAAATAAATAAATAAAATACAGCCTTTGCCTTTTTGTATTTATGCAAGTATATTTTCCTTAGTAAACTTGCTATGAGCTGCTGAATCAGAAACTGCCAAATCTTTCAGAGGGAACCCACTCACTGAACCTCAAGATAGGAATGCCATCAGGTGAGTTTCTGTCTTCATTTCCTAACCAGGGAATGAATCCCAGTTAATAAGGGACGGTGTCTTAAAACTGGTATTTTGGATTCTAAGAGCCGCCCTAGTTTTCCTTAAGCTCCCTGTGTCTCCATGTGGAGGACATGGAAGCAGTCAACCTATTCCAAGAACCGGGTTCCCCCTGGGAGGTGCAGTGTGGAAGGGAAGCAAAAACACCCTGACCCACGATGCCAGATTCTTTCTGTCACTCCCAGGACTCTCCTGGACACTCCATCCCATTCTGGAGCTGTTTCTTTGTTGCTGGGTCAGCATAAGAAGAGATTCTAGGGCCTCCCCGGTGGTGCAGCAGTTGAAAACTGGGCTGCGAAGCTGCCCGCAGCCTGTGCAGCACCAGCTCGATCCCCAGCCACTCTCAGCAGTGTATTTCGTCAGTCTGTCTGTTCTGTTCCCCGCTCTGGCTCTGGTGAATTCTCTCACCCTCCATGCTTCTGACTGTGCCCAGTGCTTGTATAAATAAATAAATAAATAAATAAATAAATAAATAAATAAATAAATAAAATCTTAAGAAAAAAAAAAGAAGAGAGTCTAGTATTTGTAGAGCTGTTTCTCCTTGTAAGATCATAGGACAGAGACACCACTGCCTGAATTTTCCTCACCATGAAGTCGTTGATCTTCTGTTCACCTTGTCGTTTTGCTTGTTTATCACCATCTCCTTTTGCTTCAAGACCTCAACTTGCGATTGCAGCTTCTCCTGTGGGGAGAGAGTTGTTTTGGCAAACTGGGCCTGGACCCCCCTCAGCCCCACAACACCATCCTGCTCCCTCAGGATGCTGGTGAGGCTACCAGGGCAATGATTAATAGATCTCTTTTTGCTATTCAAGCTGGGAGATGGGGTGTACTTGGGGAAGGTGAAATCTGAACTAAAGTGACCTACAAGAAAGGAATATTGTCATAAATTATAGCTAATACATTATGACTAATATTTCGAAGGTGTTTTGGAATTATCAAATAACTCCCACAAACTCTCCTCATTTGCCAACAACTTTAAAATACACATTTTGCCCATTTGGAAGGTGAGGCACCTGAGGCTCAGAAGGGAAACTGATTTCTTGAAGGTCATTGTAGTGTCTGTGAGAAAACACAGAATCTTCGCAGAGTTTCTCAGACTGTTTTCCACCATGACAGGTGCCCCAGTAGATAACATTAGCTTTGGGATGTAGCTCGCATGTGAGGGGAGCTGTAAATAACATAGAACCTATGTACAGCTTGCATGCGGGAACACATATTTCTGTAAAGTAGGCTTGAGCTTGATCCTGTGCCTGCTTTGTTCCTAAATCATATAAAAGCTAATAGCACCCCTGGTGCTGGTAGGGGGAGGAGGCTCTCACTGGCCACACACTGAGGGCTGGGGCCACTGCTGTGACCAGAGCCCAGGCGGGCTGCTGCTGTTGCCGCCTGTGTATCTCCTGCTGCCTCATGATAAAGACTCCTGCTCCCACACGTGGGCTTCGTGACCTGCTTTCTCGTCTGCTGCCAGTGAGAATCCAGCAAGCTTGAGGCCCCACAGTCCCAAACCTCTGGCTCAGAACGCAGTGTCCTTTCCACTCTCCAGGATGCCTCAACTCAGACTCAGAGCTCTGAGCCCACAGTACCTGACTGCAAACCGCCTACTCAGTGCAAAGATGAGGTGATGCAGAGGGAGAAAGTGACAGTTTCCTGGACTCCCGGGGAGACAGAGAACAGACCCTAAATGCCTACCTGATATCTTGGGGCAGCCTCTTCTATTAAAAGTACATTGTGGGATTTGTGCTCCTTGGATTCTCGACACAGCATACAAAGGAGCTTCCCATCAAGATCACAGAAGTAATGGAGTTTCTCCTCATGTTTCTCGCATCTGTCTTTTTCCTTTTCTGTTGCATCTCAGAGGGATCCATAGCTTGGACTTTCTCCACCAGATTTACCAACAGCCAGTTGGGCTCGTAGTTCTTCCTCACAGATTTGCCACAGAGGGGACATTTGCAAAATTTGCTTGATGTTTCTTCTGCAACCTGAGAGATGCATCTGAGGCAGAAATTGTGCCCACAGTCCAGAGTGACAGGGTCCTGCAGAATATCAATACAGATGGGGCAGAGCAGTGCCTCCTTCAGTTCTTTGGTAAACTGTTGACTCGCCATGGCAGGCAGAGGGCAGCTTCAAGTCTGTTGAAATTCTAGAAGTCTCCTCTGGACACTGGTTCTAGGGAGGAGGATATGAAAGTCAAATATTCTACCAGTTAGAGAAGCAGGGAGGGAGGAAATGGGGGTGGGAGAGAGAGAGAGAGAGAGAGAGAGATGAGAGAGAGAGAGAGAGAGAGAGAGAGAGAGAGAGAGAGAGAGAGAGAGAATAGAACAGTGATCGAATGTAAGAAATACTATAAAGAGAGGACGCAGATAGCATCCTACCTCACTCCTGGAGAACAAATGGATATTGTGAATGGATATATGCTGCTTATGAAGTAGGTAAGTTGTCCTGAACCTTGAACTAATTAAGGATATGTTTATAAGGGATTTAAGTGAGATCAGAAGGGCCAGGGCACCAAAGTCCGCTCAGAGGTTCAGCTGGGGGGTTGGGTAGGGGCTGGGGATACTTCCTGAAAGCTCACAGCTAGAAGTGCTTTGGGCATGTCTTGTAGGCAGATCCCAAATCTTGGGAGGGGAAGGAGACGATTCTCTACCACAGGTACTTTGGCGCCATGCTTTGAAGAGTTTTGTGAAAATGTGGAAGTTATGGGGCCTCCCTGGTGGCCTAGGGGTGAAGCCTCAACATTATCACCACTATGGCCTGAGTTCTGAGTTCGATCCCCAGTCAGGGAGCTGACACATGGCGCAGCAGACCTCTCCTGTCTCACCCTCTGCTCCCTCAGCAGTGTATTTCAGTAGATCTGCCTGTTCTGCTGCTCACTCTGTCTCTGGTGGATCCTCTCATCCCCCTATACCTCTAGCCTACACCCTAGTTCTTCAATGCTAAAAATATAAAATAAAGACTGCTCAGAGGAAAAGTGGTTTAAAATTGTGGATGATATAATCACCACCTCAGGGAGTTGCCAGTTATACTGAGAAGGAGCCATTGCACGCTTACTGGGGATTGCTAGGACAGTGGGAGACACAGGAGTTTCCTCTCTGAAAGGACAATATCTCATTTTGTCCATTTTTCTTGACACTGCCTTGCATCTTACACCTTGCCTGAAGCACTGCTGACAGTCTGTCCTCCAGGGAGGGGGCACCCCTGAACCCCAAACCTGCTGGCTCTAAATAAGTTTGCCATCCACCTATCAAAGACATACATAGAACCTTAATGGAAAAGAACATTAATACAATGAGTGTGTGATACAGAAAGACAAAGAATATAGTTTCCAAATCAAGCACCCAAAGTTACCCATCCTCCCATGGGTAAAAGTCCATCCAAACGGGATTGGCTCAAAGCAAGGCCCGAAAGCCTGACACAAGTCTAAAGCACCTCCCATTGGGGACCCATAGAAAAGGGTCAGAAAGAAACAAGTCTGGGAGGAAAAGAGCATAATCAAATCAAGATAAAAGCTGCCATTGTTGGGCCTCCCTGATGGTGCAGGACTTAAAGACAGTGCTATCAAGCTATCGCCAGCCACTGCAGCAGTAGTTCAATCCAGTCACTGCAGCACGGGTTCGATCCTACCTGGCCAGGAGCAACACACATGACACAGTAGACCTCTCCTGCCTCATCCACTGCTCCACTCAGCTGTGTATTTCAGTAGATCTGCCTGTTCTGCTCCCCACTTTCTCTGGTGAATCCCCTCCCACCCTGCACCTCTGGCTTACACCCCAGTTCTTGTATGCATGAATAAATGAATCTTAAAAAAAACAAAGCTGCCATTGTTAACCCCCACGGGTCTCTCACCCACATCTGTTTCAACCAGTGCAGGACTTACATGCAAATGCAGCTTCTTCACATGTCTCTCTGCCCATGTGCCTCCTCCAGGGCTCCTTCTGGCTCCCCATCTCGCTTCCTTCCTTCTCAGTCTCCTCTCCAGCTTCTTCTCCTTCCTGCTCAGCTCCACCATCCCTTGGGTGGGGCAGGGAACCTGGAACCTCCCCTTTTCCTGGGACCACCTGTTACA